GGCCTGCTGTGTTCATCCAGCTCTACACTTTGTTATCTCAGATTCTCCAGGATCGGCAGTTCCTACTATCTCTCAGCAAAACTTCAACCAACTCAACAGCTGGAAGCTTCTGAATTCACCCCCCACAAACTCTACACCATACAGCCCCTGCCAACATGACCCCTACCCACCTGTCCTGATGAGTGCAAGAAGAAAATCTTTCACAAAATGTGCCTTTAAAAACACATAACATGCTGTAGTCATTGATTGTTGTTTTGTTTTCCTTTTTCAGAACTAAAGCAGACCTGGATCAGGAAGCACTGGTCTCTGGAAACCTAGTTACAGAGGCTAATCTCGTTATTTTAGACACACTGGAGATAATTGTAAAGGTAACATTGGTGCAAAGATATTGACTTCTTACAATATAATTGTTTGTAGTGAGCCACATTGCAGACAGTTGAGTCATTAGCAAGTCAATTTGTACAGTTGGAACGCAATGCAGGACAATACACAGTAGACATTCATAAAGCACAGGAAATGATCATATGTTGGAGATTTGAATTTACGCCCCTAATCCTAACCCTAACCCTGTATGGAATCACATTCAAATGTATGAGCAGTAGCGAATCAAACATATGTAAATCGGAGACCCCTGTATTTGTTTTCTTTCTAAATAGTAAGCATTTTTATATTTATTTCTGATTCATCATTGAATTGAAGAATTATTCTGCTGCGATTATTACTTAGCGTTGGTGCAGCACCAACAAACTGAGTATGCTGGTTCCAAATTGAGTTTTCTTTCCTTTTCATTCATATGTGGGATATGGGTTTTGCTGGCCGGGCCTGCAGAGAATAGTTGCCCTTGAGAAAGTGGTGGTGAGCTGCCTCTTTACCTGCTGCAATCTGTGCGCTGCAGGTGGAAATCCATTTACAGATGTTGTACAATAAATGCTGGACCAGCCAACAATGCCCACATCCCTCATGAATGGAAAAAGAAATTCAGTTTGGCACCAGTATACTATACGTATGTATGAGTGGACTGACCCATAGTAGGCTGTTTTGGTACCAGTCCTTCATACAAAAAGCCTCTGTCACCAGTTAAAATATACATATTTAGTATGCGAAAGTCTTTTTATAACTAAATGGTTTCATGGAGTCAGGAAGAGAAAGCTAGTTGGTGAGAGAGTCCCTTTCCCTCTTGTTGGCTACAAGTCAACATTGCTGAAGGATTGGTAACAAGTTTCCGACCGGTCCTGCCATCAGAGTGATAGGGTTTGTTAAGAAGGACTGAAAAAAGTAGCAATAATTTTTATACAAACAAGGGACGGTAATAAACAAGTATTCCTAAGCTGACATGTGAGCATGTTTATTATCCACATTGTTCATATTTTGCAGGTTACTGGCTCTATCATTGAAGAACTATGAGTAGGAAATTACTGTTGGACCAGATACTTTTTTTCTGACTTTGAAAGATTTCAGCATTCATTTAGGATTGAAATATCCAATGATTGTTTATATTGTAACATAAAACGTTATGTACGGCGGCTCGTGATTAATCTTAACATGCCTTCATTTTTCCACATTGTAGGCAATTTCGGTATCCGACTGTAAGGACAGTGTCTTAGGAAACATTCTCAGGGTGATTCTTCACAGCTTGGGCTGTAATCAGAGTTCCTACTACCTGACACATTGCTTCAACTCATTGAGAGCACTCATAGCTAAGGTAAAAAAGGAGTTGGATACAAAGTTAATGAAAATGACCTATAATGTGCTGCCTTTTTTTAATGACTGGCCTGCGTTGGTTGACCATTAGATGCAATCTTGGCCTGTGTCACTTTGTGATGATTTCATCTATGAATGAACCAGGTAATTTGAAATTGACTGAAAATAGCTGTGCAGAAGCAGGTATCCTGTCACCAAGTAACCCTTTATTTATGTGTGCATAGTACATGGGCAGTGACCAGCCAGCTCAAAGGCGTTCCCAGACTCAGGAGACCTTCTGAATCTCCTGTTTATATCTGTCAGCCAGGCTTCCCTGATTAGCCCGAGGTTAACAACCCCAATCATGAATGTCATAGTCAATGGGACCCACCTAACCATGGATTCAATCACTACATTGACATTAACAAGTTATGCACTGGCTGATGGGTGTGTCTGTAGGACTCCAAGCAAAGCCAACTAATTTCAATGTTCAGGTGATTTCTCAAGGACAGTATGGTGGAATGATGAGATCACACAGATGGGACATCAGGACTCAGTAACTATTAAATCAGTGTGAACTGGCCTTAAAGAAACAATATTTTTGTTTTGAAATCTGCACTCATAAGAGGCCCATTTTGCCAATTAAACATTGCAGGTAATGCAGAATTGTTTGCAAATTAGCGAGCAAAGCATTGACCAGGGCAGACATTACAATTTTTAACTGGTCTCCCATGATGCACTGTTATCTAGAATCAAACAACTAGTGAGATCAGTACCAGTGCTGAGGTACTAAGCTGTCAGCGACAAAGTCACCTTGGATTGTGATGGCAGCGAGACTGGACTTGGAGCAAAAGTTATGCCACAAGGACAGCCAGTTGTATTTACATCCAAGGTGTAAATGCAAACTAAATGGCAGTATGCTCAAATAGAGAAAGTGTACCTGACTATTGTCTTTGCTTGTGAACATTTCAATCAATACCTGTTTGGGTGAAACTGGATTATGCCCACAAGCCACTTCAAAGCATTTTTGTCCAAGCACTTCCATCTATTCCAAACCATCTACAAAGACTATTGTTTGCAGTGATGTAGTGAATGTGATGTCTAAATGGGGGAGACACGTGTGCATAGCTGACATGTTGTTGAGAGCAGCACTGCCTCTGAAACAAGTTGAGGCTGCCTTGTGAAACCCTACAGATTCAACAAGAAGCACCCATTCAACATGTTGTGGAAGTCATTAATCCAACAGAGACATTGAATCTGAAAGACAAGCATCTTGCAATGGCCTGGTGGTATTATCACTGGACTATTAATCCAGAGACCCAGAAAATGTTCTGGGCACCCAGGTTCGAATCCCACCACGGCAGACAGTGGAATTTGAATTCAATAACATATCTGGAACTAAGAATCTAATGATAACCGTGAACCCATCATTGATTGTCGGAAAAGCCCATCTGGTTCACTAATGTCCTTTAGGGAAGGAAACTGCCATCCTTACCTGGGTCTGGCCTACATGTGACCCTAGAGCCACAGCAATGTGGTTGACTCTTAGCTGCCCGCTGGGCAATTAGGGATGGGCAATAAATGCTGCCTGGCCAGCAACGACCTCATCCTGAGAACGAATAAAGGAAAAAAAAATCTTGCACAAATCAAACAAATAATACAACTTGAGGCATCTGTTAGACTGCTGCAGGAAGTAGAGATGAAAGGAAGATTTGAAAACATCAAGAAGACACTGTAAGAGAGTATCTCATTTAGAGAGAAATGAGAACCAAGATGGCATCTTGTACAAAGGAAAGTCAGTGAGAATACTTCAGGAGCTGAAATAAAAAGATGCTGAAGCACATTCATGCAAGCCAACAGGGAATTGAGTCTATATTCTGAGGAAGATAAGAGAAGTGATATACTGGTCAAATATGAGCAATCAAATTAGGACCCTATCAGCTAATGCAGTGTTTGCGATGAAAACCAGGCTAGGTGAGATAAAGAGCCCGTTATGAAGTATGACACCCAAACGAACCATGGATGAAGCTTGCAATAGACCTCCTCACACTCACAATAACTGAATATTTTGTCACACTGACGACTGGGAGTTAGTACAGTTGACGTCATCATTGATCAATGAGATTGTAGAAGGCCTGAAAGCACATATCTGTTGTTAGGACATTCGAGAAACGGTGATGAGAAGATTAGAAATATGAGCAGGAGTGTGCCATTCAGCCCTTCAAGCCTGCCTCACTATTCTATAATACCATGGCTGATCTGCCTCACGTCTGAACTCTTCTTTTATGCCAACTTCTCATAGTCATCAATTCCTCAACATTTCAAAAATCTGTCCACTGCCTCCTTAAATACTTTCGGTGATCTAGCCTTCATGTACTCTGGAGAGGTCATTTCAGGCATTCACTATTGAGGGAACAAATTCCTTCGCATCTCAGTTTTAAGTGAGTGCCCCCTTATTCTGAAACTTATGACCTCTAGTTTGGGATTCCCTCAAAATAGGCACATCTTCTCAATTGAGGTGATGTGAGAGTGACAGTCCTTGATATGAAGTCTGCATTCGACCAAGTGAGGCATCCATGAACCCTAGCAAAACTGGAAGTAGCAGGAATCAGTTGTCAAAATCTCGGCTGATTGGAGTCATACCTGGCACATAGAAAGATGGTCGTGGTTTTTGGAGGTCAGTCATCTCAGCTTCAGGATATCTCTGCAGGAATTCCTCTGTGTAGTGTCGTAGACCCAACCATCTTCAGCTGCTTCATCAATGACCTTCTGTCCATCATAACGTCAGACGTGAAGATGTTCGCTGATGATTGCACAATGTTCAGCACCATTCGTGACTCCTTGGATATCTGAAGCAGTCCATGTTCAAATGTAACAAAATATGGACAGTATCCATGTTTGGGCTGAAAAGTGGTAAGTAACATTCATGCCACATAAATGCCAGGCAATGACCATCTCCAACAAAAGATGATCTAAAAACTGCCGCTTGACATTCAATGGTGTTACCATCACTGAATCCCCCACTATCAGTATCCTGGGTAATACCATTGTCCAAAAACTCAACTGGACTAGCCACATAAATACAGTAGCTACAGGTTAGAAGCTAGGAGTATTGCAACAAGTAACTCACCTCCTGACTCCCCAAAGCCTGTCCATGATCTGCAGAGCACAAGTCAGGATTGTGATGGGAAACTCCCCTATTGCCTGGATGAGTGCAGCTGCAATAACACTCAAGAAGCTTGATACCTTCCAGGATAAAGCAGCCCGCTTGATTGGCACCACTTCCACAAACATCCAGCGACATTCAGTAGCAGCAGTGTGTACAATCTCCATGATGAACTGCTGGAATCACATCAACTCTCCCAGTCTGCTTCAGAGATGTTCTGAGGAAGGGTCACCGGACCCGAAACGTTAACTCTGTTTTCTCCTTCACAGATGCTGCCAGACCTGCTGAGCTTTTTCAGCAACTTTGTTTTTGTTCCTGCTTCAGTGATGTTGACTTGCTGCACACTCCATCCAGTCTGACAATGAGTGACAATGACCCTCAGTCCTTGAGTGAAGAATTCAAACACTTCATACAAGATTGGGAAACTTAACACCGAACAAGATTTCCTGACTGTCACCAGTTAAATGGAAAGACTGAGGTAGCAGTGAAAATCCCTGAATGATTTATGAAGAAATTGAGCAAATCTAGCATAGACATATACAAGACAATCCTTGAGTGTAAAAATACATCTATTAAAGGCATGCAAATAGACTTATCCAAAGACTAACCCTATACTGCACCTAAAATGCTCTTCTAGTAGCAAAACAAAAACTACTGAAGCCACAATGACAAAGTCAAGGTGAACTGACAAGAAAACCAAATTTCACTTCGAGAACATTGCCAGGTCATTGGAGAAACAGCCAGAGTTCAAATGTTCAACTGTCTCAACAGAACTCAGCCCAGATAGTGACTTAGAACCTATGTGGTACAATTGTTTTCAGAAATACAGTTGTAGTTTTAGTGTACTAGCTGGCTTTCAGTAGTCATGAGGCCTTTACCTGTGCTGTAAATGCCTTTTGTATGCAGTCTGTGTAGTAACCATGAAACACACATTACCTGTTGCAGACAGTAATCACTTTATGGCATGTCTTTCCAGCAATAGTAAAACTGATCAATCTTAGGAGATACAGCACTTTATATTCTAAAGACATACAAACTGTCTCATTGTGTATGAATACAATAATTGTTTGGGACACTGTCCGTCATAGCCCCCAGACTTTTGCATTTTATAAACCTAAACAAGTTCATCTCATGTGCAAAAACTTGTAAGGTGTTACGGGCTGCTAAATCGGCTCGATGTGCATTTCTTGGATAATAAGTGTTGTTAAACCCTTCAATGAGGGTCCAAACTGAAAGAAGAGAATTGGATGACACCCTGCTTCATGCTTTGGATATTGTTGGCCTTCACTTGTTCAGTGTATGTGAAGTGGCTTGGGACCCTTTTTTAGTCCATTCAATGCAATGCACAAGTTGTTGTTATTGATTGACATTAAGTATTCTTTCCCTGGAATTCTGACATGTCCATGTTGTTATTTTCCTTGTTTTCTCAGTATGCGGACGTACTGTTTGAAGAGGAAGCAGAGCAGTGTTCTGACATGTGTCAGAGAGTGTTACACCACTGCTGCAGCAGCATGGACAGTACCCGGACACAAGCCTGTGCCGTACTGTACCTCATCATGAGGCACAGCTTTAGTACAATCAGTGTAAGGCTTCATTATCTTTATCGGAATGTGCGGTAACTGCCGGTTGTCAGCGACAACCAATCACATCCAGTCTTGGAAAGCCATATTGTTATTCTGTGTCACAATCATTACAAATAAATAATAATGGCTAGTGCCATTGGGGGATTATTATTCTATTTCCCTTTAGAATTGAATAGGACTGTCATATTTATCTACAGTGCTGACAGCAACAGGAGATTGTTGGCAGCAGGTAATGCAACATTTATGGCTTATTCTTTCCTTCTTACAACTTACTAACATACATGGATAATTGTGGTGAGTTGGCCCTGATTTTTATCTCCACTGCTGACCTCAAAGGCATCAGAAACAGTGATGTACACTCAATCATCCCAAAGAGAGCCCACTGCCACATGCACAGCTCTTCCTGCCTCCCCTCTAGCCAGCAGCAGGGGTTTGCACAATCCCACTGGAGCATATGGAAAACAAATTGCCTGACAGCAACATTGCCAATCAAATTTCACATGAATTGCCTCCATAAGGGAGTTCCAGTGTGTAATGGCTTTGTGCAGTAAGTTCCTGCGCAGCTCAGGTAGTTTATTTGCTGGGCCGTGGGACTCTGAATCACAGGATCATTGTTTTGCGTCCCCCACTGGATGCTGAATTTTTCAAACTTTCAATCTACACAAATCCCATTTACCAAATATACTGCAGTAAAACTTCAATTCCTAACATGGCTTCATATATTACCATTTTTTTGTTTGAAAAACATATTTCTGTCAAAACGTTTTTTCATTGACTGCTTATTTACTAAACTGACATTACAATCAATTCTTTATATTGAAAAATTGTCAGAAACATGTTTGGTAAGGGTAAGAATGGATAACTAATGTGGACTAGATATGATAACTTACGACTGGTTAAAAACTGAACAGACCTAAAACTAGGTCACTTGAACTTTATTGTTAGTCTGTGTCAAACTAACTTGGTTGTCTTAATGAATGCAACTGACACTTTGACACTGAACCTGCAACTATACAGGTACAGCAAGTGTTTGCCTTTGTGTTCCAGCACCATTAAACACAGCTCTTTACAATTGGAACTCTGAAAGAGATTTCCATCCTGAACAATTTGTTATGTGTGTACTTATCTTTGAGGATATTTATTTACTCCCTCAAGACAATCTTTCCTGGGCATTCTACAAGAGATTCATCAATAGAATTTAACATCACAAGGCTGTAATGTAACTGTAACATTTCCCAATCGTCAAATTAGCAGCCTCTGCAACAGAAGCTGCATTTATATTATTAGCTGCCAATTGTCATTCTTTCTCAGTGACATACCCTCTCAGTGTAATAGCAAAATCAAACTAAAAAGCAGATCAATACAGATTTCAATCAATATTGGCAACTCTCTGATGTCACAACTTATGCTACTAATTGTACATTTTCTATGACTCCATCACCAGATTTATAGAGGGGAAAATGAATTAATGCTTGCGTTGCTTACACTGATTTTAGTGGTTTCCATTTCCAGAATTTTGCCAGAGTTAAAATGCAGGTCACCATGTCTTTAGCATCTCTGGTGGGTAAATCATCAGATTTTAATGAAGAATATTTGAGGCGAGCTTTACGAACAGTTCTGGCTTATGCAGAGGAAGACGAAGATATGCAGCCGACAATGTTTCCAATTCAGGTAAGGAGACCTCACACTAAGTGTAACACAAAAATAAAAACATCCTACTTGCACATTAGTATACTTTCCACTAGAATAAACATGACTACCATGTTGTGCTGAGTCTGTTTACCATATAATGATGAAGTATAACTGCTATAAAGTTAGTACACGTCTCCAAATTAGAGCCCACAGTCTAAAAGTATCGTCGAAAATCCCTTTTCCTTCCAAAGGTTATTATCAGAGATTTATTGTAGTAAGGTGATCTCCAGGAGAATTCATTGGAAATCGGGCCCTTCTTATTTGATTATATTCTGGTTTCAGGGTTGTTGGATGCTGAGCTCAAATCATGCTTGACCTTACAAACGCAGAATATTTATTTGAAACTGTAACCTGTTGTACTATAACCACATGTCAAGAGCAAGCACCACACTCAACCCAATAAAAAAACAGTTCAGGTCTACCCTTGCCAATATAATACTGGCTATGGTACAATACTTGTGTCTATATGGCAATGTGGAAAATTGCACAAGTATGTGAGATAGTGGAGGCATTGTTTGAAACATTCCAATCCTCACTAGATTCTGGGGGAGCTCCAGCAATTTGGAAAAATGCTAACATGATACCACCATTCAAGACAGGAGTGAGACAGATAGCAGGAAGCTATTGGCCAGGTAGCCTAACATCTGATTTTGGCAAAATGCTAGAGTCCATTATAAGGGAGAAATAAAAAAGCTTAATGCAATCAAGCAGAGTCAGCATAGATTTGTGAAAGGGAAAACATGTTTAACAATTTTGCTAGAGTTCTTTGAGGATATAATAAGCAGAGTTGATAAAGGGGAACCATTAGATGTAGCATATTTGGATTTTCAGAAGATATTCGGTAAGGTACCACATAAAAGGTTATTGCACAATATAGGAGTTCATGGTATTATGGATAATGTAACAGTGTGGATTGAGGATTGGTTAACACACAGAAGAGAGAGTCAGGATTAATAGAGATAATACAGTGTGGAGCTGGAGGAGCACAGCAGGCCAGATAGCATCAGAGGAGCAGGAAAGTTGACATTTCGGGTCGGGACCCATCTTCAGAAAAGGGTCTCTTTTTCTGAAGGGTCCCAACCGAAACGTCACCTTCCCTGCTCCTCTGAAGCTGCCTGGCCTGCTGTGCTCCTCCAGCTCCACACTGTGTTATCTCTGACTCCAGCATCTGCAGTTCTTATTCTTTGAGTGAGTCAGGATTAATAGGCCTTTTTTCAGGTTGGAAAGATGTAACTAGTAGAGTGACACACTGATCAGTGCTAGGTCCTCAATTATTTACTATCTTTATTAATGACTTGAAGGAGGGTGCGAAGTGAATGCATCCAAATTTGCTAATAATACAAAAATAGGCGGGAGGGCTGGTTGAGATGAGGACATAAGGAATCCGTAAGAGGATATAGGTAGGTTGCATGAGTGGCAAAAATGGAGCGTAATGTAGGAAAGTATGAGATCATGCACTTTTGATCAGGAGAATTAAAAAGTTAGACTACAACTTAAATGGACAGAAACACCAAAAAACTATAGTACAAATGGATTTGGGAATTCTTTCAATTAAACACAAAGTGTTAACATGCAGGTATGACAAGTAATTAAGAAGACAAATGGAAGTTTGGCTTTTATCGCTAGAGGGATGGTGTTTAAAAATAAGAAGGTCATGCTACAACTATTGACAGTGATGGTGAAGCAGCACCTGGAATACTGTGCATAGTTTTCTCCTAGTATTTAAGAAAAAAGATATACTGCTATTTTAGATGGTTCAAAAGAGATTCACTCTGCTAATGCCTGTGCTGAAAGAGTTGACTTATGAAGAAGAGTTAAACAAGTTAGGTTTTTATTCACTAGAATTTAAATAAATAAGAGGATGATCTCATTGAAACATGTAAGATTCTGAGGCGTCTTGACAGGGTAGATGCTGAGACAATGTTTTCATTAGTGGGGGAATCTCAAACAGAAGGACATAGTTACAGAATAAAGGAGCACTCATTTAAAACCGAGATGCAAAGGACCTTCATTTCCCAAAGGTTAGTGAATACCTGGAATTGAGTTGGGAAGGTTAGATCACTGAAAGTGTTTAAAGAGGAGGTAGAGAGATTATTGAAATATTAGGGATTTGACAATATCCTGAGCAGGCTCAAAAGAGGAGTTGAGGGCAGATCAGCCATGATTTTGTTGAATGATAGGGCAGGCTTGAGGGGCCAAAAGGCCAACCCTTGCTCTACTTCTTATGTTCCTGACTTAGAACTATATTGTTGTGCCTTTACTGGGTCAAGAACCCTTCTTTCTGTCAGTACATTAATGTGCCTGCATGACTTGGATCGTAGCTGTTCACGAAGGTGGCTCAGTGTCACCTTCCCGAGGGTAATTGATAAATGCTGGTCCAGCCAGTGATAGCCACATCCTATGAAAGAATAGGTCATTATTAAAATTCTAAAGTTACACAAAAAATGATCAATAAATCTGTGTTAATACTGTAATATAAAATTGACTTGATGGCCCGTACATGACAGTACACACCAATCATTGTAGTTAAAGTACTCTCTGTTCTTTTAATTGTTTCCAGGTGGAGGAACTACTGTTTAATCTCAACAGCATCTTATCTGACACGGTCAAAATGAGGGAGTTCCAGAAAGATCCTGAGATGCTCATGGACTTAATGTACAGGTATATAAACACCTTCCAAAAATGCAATCACAGTGCCATCATTCCTCGGCATCCTATCATTACCACACTTTGTTCTTTTTGGCAGGTTATTGAAGGCCAATAACTGATCTCTAGTTATCATCCCTGAGGAATATGTGCCAGTGTAGAGATGCTTCAGTGAGATGCATGCGACATTCAGTGTATTACCTCCTTTGGCTAACTTTTTGATAGTTACACTGTTAACATTGACAGAGAAGAGACATCCTAAATTTATTTGAGCTATGTTCATTATCTCCAAAATGTTCCCCCACTTGCCTGAGCTTATTTCCAGATACACGGTCCAGGACTGCCCACGCCTTTGTTGTTACTATGCACTGGAAAAACAGAATTCTTCTAGATATAATTTAAGAATTTTGCTCTCACCCTACCTTGCACACTAAAACTATCCCAGTTAGTATTTATTATTGTCTGCTAATTACTGCCTTAATATACTTACACTTCTCTGAAATTTGATTACATATTTGATCCTCAGCATGTTTGCTGCTTTTGTAGTTTTTACTTCTATTCATGTAGCCTCATTTGATGATCCTTCCAAGGTATCAGCTCTCCTCACTCCGAAAATTAATTATTTGATCAATATTGCGCCCCCCTCCCCCTTTCTGTTCAGTTCCCCTCTCTCTGATTAGTATTCGACAATTTCAGCAGACAGTTAGTCACATTGCTGTGAGTCTGGAGCCACATGGAGGCCAAAAGGACAAAAGACTGTTTTAAACAAAAGTTTGTCAGGATAAGGCCAGCAAATACAGACCAGTCAGTTTGAAATGAGTGTTGGAAAAGTTTCTGGAATCAATGATTCAGGATAGAACCAGTAATCACATGGAAAAAGAAGAGCTGATTGGTGTGGATTTCTAAAGGAGAAAAGATATTTAACTAACTTGCTGGAGATATTTTGAACAGATAACAGGAAGGGTCAATGAGGGTGAAACTGTTGACCTACTGTACATGGACTTCTAGATGGTGTTAAACACAGTAAAACACAAGCTGTGGGAAAAGTTGTAACTCATGGAATACAAGGGACAGTAGCCACGTGGATACAAAATTACTGAGTGATAGGAAACAAAGTGTAGGGGTCAGTTGATATTTTTCAGGCTGGAGGAAAGTTTGTATTGGAATTTCCCACATTCCCAAAGCAATGTGGTTGACTCTTAAATGCCCTTTGGGCAATTAGGGATGGGCAATAAATGCTCACCCAGCCAGCAGCGCCCACATCCTGTGAATAAATAAATAAATAATTCCAGTTATGTTTTGATTTTCCTGTCATATATTAATACTGTAGATATTCATTGCAGGATACAATTTCAAAGTTTGTGGATGATGCAAAACTTGGAAACATTATGAACTTTGAGAAGGTCAGTGCAGAATTTCAAAAGTACCTTGATAAGCAGATGGAGTGGGCAAATAGGTGGCAGGATAAGTTAAATGAAGAGCAGTGTGAAGTAATGCATTTTAGGAGGAAAGGGATGGGAAGACAGTACAAAATAGGGGGTACAATATTTAATGGGGTGCAGAGGGATCTGGTAATATCAGCTCACAGATCATTGAAGTGGCTCGATAGCGGTTAATAAAGTATGCACTATCCTGGGATTTATTAATAGTGGCATAGAGTAAAAGAGTAAGGAGATAACGTTGAACTTGTATAAGACACTTGTTAGGCCTTAGCTGGCGTGTTATCTACAGTTGCAGGCACTGTATAATAGGAAATATGTGAACGTACTGGAGAGAGGGCAGAAGAGATTTACAATATGTTTCCAGGGATGAGACACGTCAATTATGAGGATAATTTGGAGAGGTCGGGACTGTTTTCCTTGGAGAGATGAAGGCTAAGAGGAGATCTGATGGAAGTTTTCAAAATCATAGGTGTTAGGTAGAGTACCTGTTCTCACTTGTAAAAAGATCAAGGATGAGAGGGTACAGGTAAGTTGCAAGATAAGCAAAAGTTATGTGAGGAAAGTTGTTTTCACATGAGTGTTAGAGATCTGGTGTGCAATTCCTGGAAGTATGGTGAAGGAAGGCTCCATTGAGGCATTCAAGAGAACATTATTTCTATTTAAGTAATCATCCGTTGTGCAAGGAAAAAGCAGGAGAATGACATGAAGTCAAAATGCTCATTTCGAGAGCTAGTCCAGACAAAATGGGCCAAATAGTCTCTTTCAACTTCTGTGATTTTGTGATTAGTGAACCATATGGATTTTTACAGCAATCAATGATCATTGTCATAGCCAACATTACTGAGACTAGCTTTTTATTCCGGATTTATTGATCAAATTTAAATTCCACCAGCCTCTACTGAGGGATTTGGAACCACAGTTCCCACATCATTTCTAAGGTCAGAGTCTCTCCTCCAGCCACATTACATTGCCATAATCTGGGTTCTGAGGAAGGGTCACTGGACCCAAAATGTAAACTCTGATTTCTCTCCACAGTTGCTGCCAGACCTGCTGAGCTTTTCCTGCAATTTCTGTTTCTGTTTCTGATTTCCAGCATCCGCAGTTCTTTTGGTTTTAAATTGGCCTTCATGTTCTAATTACTGTTTCAGTTTGTTTGTTAATTACTACTTTCTTTTTTGAAATTAATAATTCAGATTGGCTAAAGGATATCAGACTTCACCTGATCTACGTTTGACTTGGCTCCAAAACATGGCTGAGAAGCATACAAAACGGCAGTGTTACACCGAGGCTGCATTGTGTTTGGTCCATGCTGCAGCATTGGTAGCAGAGTACCTCAGTATGTTGGAGGATCACAAGTACCTTCCTGTGGGTAGTGTTAGCTTTCAGGTACGTCTGAAAATTTGACTTAGCACTACTACTTATATACCTAAGTACTTAAGGAACTTTATTATAACTCCTCGCGTACCACCCCGCCAACCTCCGGATCCAACGCATCATCCTCCGACACTTCCGCCATCTGCAATCCGACCCCACCACCAAAGACATTTTTTCCTCCCCACCCTTATCTGCTTTCCGGAGACACCACTCTCTCTGTAACTCCCTTGTCCGCTCCACACTCCCCTCCAGCTCCACCACACCCAGCACTTTCTCTGCAACCGCAGGAAGTCCTACACCTGCCCCTAAACCTCCCCCCTCACCCCCATCCCAGGCCCCAAGAAGACTTTCCACATCAAGCAGATGTTCACCTGCACATCTGCTAATGTGGTATACTGTATCCGCTGTTCCCGTTGTGGCCTCCTCTACATCGGGGAAACCAAGCGGAGGCTTGGGGACGGCTTTGCAGAACACCTACGCTCGGTTTGCACTAAACAACTGCACCTCCCAGTCGCGAACCATTTCAACTCCCCCTCCCATTCCTCAGACGACATGTCCATCCTGGGCCTCCTGCCGTGCCACAATGGTGCCACCTGAAGGTTGCAGGAACAGCACCTCATATTTCGCTTGGGAACCCTGCAGCCCAATGGTATCAATGTGGACTTCACAAACTTCAAAATCTCCCCTCCATCGACCACATGCCAAAACCAGCCCAGCTTGTCCCCGCCTCCCTAACCTGTCCTTCCTCCCACCTATCCCCTCCTCCCACCTCAAGCCCCACCCCTGTCTCCTACCTACTAGCCTCATCCCGCTCCCTGGACTGACCTATCCCCTCCCTAACTCCCCACCTACACTCACCTTTACTGGCTCCATTCCCGCCTCTTTGACCTGTCTGTCTCCTCTCCACCTACCCTCTCCTCTATCCATCTTCTATCTGCCTCCCCCTCTCTCCCTGTTTATTTCAGAACCCCCTTCCCCTCCCCCATTTCTGAAGAAGGGTCTAGGCCCGAAACATTAGTTTTCCTGCTCCTCTGATGCTGCTTGGCCTGCTGTGTTCATCCAGCTCTACACCTTGTTATCTCAGATTCTCCAGCATCTGCAGTTCCTACTATCTCTCACTTTATTATAACTATTGTTTTTTGTCATGGTTTCCAGAATATATCACCTAATGTTCTGGAAGAATCTGCAGTTTCAGATGATATCTTGTCCCCAGATGAAGATGGGATATGCAGTGGAAGATACTTCAGTGAAAATGGTCTTGTGGGTTTGCTTGAACAAGCAGCTGAGCTCTTCAACACAGTAAGTGTTCTTTAGGTACTCGTTATGTCTCCTCCTTCCTTTAGATCCTGTTACCCACAAGGCAATATGTTAAAGACTTCTACCAGGCCCCTCTCCAGCTCACTGTTTGGAGATGTATGATGCCTGCAGAGGAATGGCTTGGGCATTTCACACGTGGTAAAGCAGAGATCAGGACCTCGCCAATGAGAAACAAGAATCATTATTCAGTTAGTGTGAGCTAACTTGCTGGAGCACCCATGCCCCAATTGCTTGAAAGAACAGAAATTTTAAATTCTATGGCTTTGGACATGAAACAGGAATATTCAGATGGAGTTTAACCCTACCTGTCCATCAGAAACTGAACCAGTGAGCAGTTGGAGGAATAGCATTGTTCCCAGCTCCCTACTCCCCTCACTGCCAAAATTTCTCAAAATCCCTTTGTACCACTTAACCTGGATGTGAAATTCAGCAAAGAGCTGCTAATTTTCATTTTCGTCTGCCCACTCTGTACTTTCATCATATTTATTCTGGGCAGGAAATGAACACACAGCTGGGAGTTGAAATACCTTAGGTCCTGACATTTAGTCCACTGAATATGACTAGTGATTGTAATGAAGGCAGCCAGAAGCCAGATGGACCTAGCATATAAATTCCCTGATTGAGACTGTTAATCTGCTCCAATCAGGGAGCCCTGGCTGACAGATATAAACAGGAATGTCAGACATCCTGTTCACTCTGAGAGCTGGCTCTGAGGGAGCTGGAACAATGTTGGGGGATGCTCCATGTGTATTTAAAGGGTGATCTGGTAATGAAATTCTGGCCTCTATTGAGTTATTTCAGTCATATTATCCACATCCAGCAAGCCCTCCTCTTTCTGAAACACACGCTGAGTTAAAATTGAGTTTGCATTAACATCCTTGAACATTGTGCTGATGTTACACATACTTTGGGATTTTCAATCAGCAACTAGTTTTTTGTTCTAAAATATCCTACCAAGGACGTCTGCGTGGAGGACATCTATAATAGGGGAGGTAGTTCTCACAGTTGGTATCTAGAATTGTCTTAAATGTGTCTGGAATAGACTGAGTGCCTTTGTTCCCAACTGCATGTTCTGATTGTGCCAGAAGAAGAAATATAGCTTCATGATGAGCCAAAAACCTCAGCACATTCTTTTGAAATTGGCTGAAGACAATTACAAGGGATTAAATCTTTCAGAGTAGTCATTAATGTGTCTAAAATGAATTAGCATGCTTCTTACTGTAGGATATGTAATAAAAACATTCTTGTCTGGTTTTACGTTGCCAAATATCAATGTAACTTCAGTGATCTGTAATTTATATTCGTAAATTCCTAGGGTCATACAGCATGGAAACAGACCCTTCCATCCAACTAGTCCATGCTAACCACGTTCTTGCAACTGAAACTTTAAACAAAACACACCCAGTTAAAATACTGGGTGAGGTACTCAAAATCTGCAAGCCCTTGTTCAAGGCTTGAATGCATTTGTTCAACTATCAAGTTAATTGCTTCATGAATTTGGCCCATTGTCCATTGAAGACTCTATCACTGAGTTATCCTGCAACATTAACCTGCTCATGGTTGAAGTGGAATTCTCCCATCCGTCTGCAGTTCTAAAGAGTGTATTTTTAAAGCCTGTCATTACTCAATCCCTGCTACTGTACAATATCTTCTTCATGAACAGCACCCAGGTTACAACATTCTGCGTTGTATTCAGCAGAGCTTGAAGATGCCTGTAGGCTCTGATATGCCTTCTCCATTATTTGTCCTTGAATCTTGAATCTGCCCTCTTGTTCACTGGTAAATTATGAGTCACCAGGTGAAAACAAAACTTTCTCTTTTTCTGGACCTAAAGGTTGAAAAGCTGAGCCGTTGTATTTTCTGCACGTGCCTTGTGACAGTGCATCCTCAAAAAGATTTTGAGGAGTCAGCAATGGTGAGCTCAACCAAATTCTGGAATACCCAGCCTTTGTTCATCTGGAGTCCACTGTGTCAAGTCTAATTCTTTGATCAGCAACTCCTTCAATGTGCAAGTTTGGATTATCTATGTACTGGACTTAAGACCTTACTTTAAGGATTGACATCATGCCCACAACCGCTAAGGGAATGGGGAATTTAAATGCTAATAAAATGGCATATTTCCAGCTTTTCCACCTGTTATCGATGCTCCATACCCCAAATGCAACTTCACATTAACATCTAACCCAATGGCTCAATCACAATTAAAATACACTGGGACTTGTAACGTGTTCTTTTAATCTTTGAAGACTTAGTCCCACAAGTACAAAAGTTTAAATGGTATAATTTTGCTTACTTCCTTTTCAAAAAAAAATCTTTGCACTCAGTGTCAATGTTTGATAATGGGGTATTTACCATTTCAATTAGTGAGGAGCATCGGGGTATTGTCACTGGTCTAACCATCCAGAGACCCAGGTGATGTTCTGAGGACACTACAATAAAACAAAGAGTTGCAGATGCTGAAGATCTGAAACAAAAGCAGAAATTGCTGGAGAGAAAGCAGGGTTAAAGTTTTGAGTCCAGTGACCCTTCTTCAAAACTAGTTTTTTAAATTCATTTATGGGATAGCTTTCTCTCCACAGATGTTGTGAAATGTATTGAATATTCTGAGGACCCTGGTTCAAATGGTGAAATTTGAATTTTGTGGAAAAATCAGGAATAAAATGTCTAATGACCATTATCAGTTGTCATAAAAATCCAGTTCTGAGAAAGGGTCACTAAACCCTAAACATAAACTATGCTTTCTCTCCACAGGTGTTGCCAGACCTGCTGAGATTTTCCAGCAACTTTTTTTTTGTTTCATAAAAACCTACCTGCTTCCCAAATGCCATTTACAGAAGGAAATCTGCCATCTTTACTTGATCTGGCCTATATATGATTCCAGATCTACAGCCTTTTAACTCATAACCACCTTCTGGGCAATTAGGGATGGGCAATAAATGCTGCTTGAGCTAGTGATGCTCACAACCATTCAAAGAATAAACGCTTTTTTTTTAATTTTAAGGCTCATCTCAGATGAGGATCCAAGTGGTAACGCCACTAGGTTAGTCATCCAGAACTCAAGGTTAATGTTCTGGGCACACAGGTTTGAATCCCACCAAGGCAGTTGGTGATATGTGAATTCAATTTTAAAAATCTGGATTAAAAAAAAACTAGTCTTGTGGTAATCAAGAAATGATAGAGAATTGTGAACACAGCCCAGTCCATCACGAAAACCAGCCTAAATAAAAACCAAAAGAACTGTGGATGCTGTAAATCAGTAACAAAAACAAAGTTACTGGAAAAGCTCAGCAGGTCTGACAGCATCTGTGAAGGAGAAAACAGAGTTAACGTTTCGGGTGGTGACCCTTCCTCAGAACTCAAAATGAAAACCAGCCTTCCTTCTGTTGACTCTGCCTAAACTTCCAGCTGCCTCAGGAAAGCAGCAGTTGTAATTAAAGACCCCTCCCACCTGGTTATACTCTGTTCACCCTCTTCCATCAGGCAGAAGATACAAAAGTTTGAAAGCACGTACCAACAGATTCAAGAACAGCTTCTTCCCTGCTGTTATCAGACTAATGAACAGACCTCTCGTATATTGGAGTAGATCTTTCTCCACACCTTTTCTGTAGCTGTAAAACTATATTCTGAACTTTGTTCTGTTACTCTGATGTGCTTATGTGAGGTATGATTTACAAAGAACAAAGAAAATTACAACACAGGAACAGGCCCTTCAGCCCTCCAAGATGCGCCGATCCAGATCCTCTATCTAAACCTGTCGCCTATTTTCCAAGGATCTGTATCCCTCTGCTCCCTGCTTATTCATGTATCTGTCTAGATACATCTTAAATGACGCTATCATGCCCACCTCTACCACCTCTGCTGGCAATGTGTTCCAGGCACACACCACCCTCTGCATAAAGAACTTTCCATGCATATCTCCCTTCAACTTTTCCTCTCTCACCTTGAAATTGTGACCCCTAGTAATTGAGTCCCCCACCCTGAGAAAAAGCTTCTTGCTATCCACCCTGTCTATACCTCTCATGATTTTGTAGACCTCAATCAGGTCCCCCCTCAATCTCCGTCTTTCTAATGTAAATAATCCTAATCTACTCAACCTCTCTTCATTGCTAGCGCCTTTCATACCAGGCAACGTGCTGGTGAACCTCTTCTGCACCCTCTCCAAAGCATCCACATCCTTTTGGGAATGTGGCAACCAGAACTGTACGCAGTATTCCAAATGTGGTTGAACCAAAGTACTATACAACTATAACATGACCTGCCAACTCTTGTACTCAATACCCCGTCCGATGAATGAAAGCATGCCGTATGCCTTCTTGACCACTCTATCGACCTGCGTTGCCACCTTCAGGGTACAATGGACCTGAACACCCAGATCTCTCTGTGCATCAATTTTCCCAAGGCTTTTCCATTTACCGTATAGTTCGTTCTTGAATTGGATCTTTCAAAATGCATCACCTCACATTTGCTGGATTGAACTCCATCTGCCATTTCTCCGCCCAACTCTCCAATCTATCTATATTCTGCTGCATTCTCCGACAGTCCCCTTCACTATCTGCTACTCCACCAATCTTAGTGTCATCTGCAAACTTGCTAATCAGACCATCTATACCTTCCTCCAGATCATTTATGTATATCACAAACAACAGTGGTCCCAACACGGATCCCTGTGGAACACCACTGTTCACAGTTCTCCATTTTGAGAAACTCCCTTCCACTACACTCTCTGTCTCCTGTTGCCCAGCCAGTTCTCTATCCATCTAGTACATGCTGGACCCCATGCGACTTCACTTTCTCCATCAGCCTACCATGGGGAACCTTATCAAATGCCTTATTGAAGTCCATGTATATGACATCTACAGCCCTTCCCTCATCTATCGACTTTGTCACTTCCTCAAAGAATTCTATCAAGTTGGTAAGACATGACCTTCCCTGCACAAAACCATGCTGCCTATCACTAATAAGCCCATTTTCTTCCAAATGTAAATAGATCCTATCCCTCAGTATCTTCTCCAGCAGCTTCCCCACCACTGACATCAGGCTCACCGGTCTATAATTACCTGGATTATCCTTGCTACCCTTCTTAAACAAGGGGACAACATTAGCAATTCTCCAGTCCTCCGGGACCTCACCCGTGCTCAAGGATGCTGCAAAGATATCTGTTAAGGCCCCAGCTATTTCCTCTCTCGCTTCCCTCAGTAACCTGGGATAGATCCCATCCGGACCTGGGGACTTGTCCACCGTAATGCCTTTTAGAATACCCAACACTTCCCCTCTCCTTATGCCAACTGAACCTAGAGTAATCAAACATCTATCCCTAACCTCAACATCCGTCATGTCCCTCTCCTCGGTGAATACCGACGCAAAGTACTCATTAAGAATCTCACTCATTTTCTCTGACTCCTCGCATAACTTCCTTCCTTTGTCCTTGAGTGAGCCAACCCTTTCTCTAGTTACCCTCTTGCTCCTTATGTACGAATAAAAGGCTTTGGGATTTTCCTTAACCCTGTTTGCTAACCAGCATTTGTCTGGTTAGCACGCAAAACAATACTTTTCACTGTAATTCGCTATATGTGATTATAATAAATCAAATCAAATCAAATGTAGCCGCTATTGATTCTCGTAAAAACCCACCTTGTTCATTTATGTCCTTTCGGGAAGGAAACTGCCATATTTAACTGGACTGGCCTACATGTGACTCCAGACCCACAGCATTGTGGGTGACTCTTAACAATTAGAGCTAAGCAATAAATACTGGCCTAGCAGCAATACCCACATCCCATGAATGAATAAAAAACAAGATGCAACAGAGCTTAGATTAAAAGTAAAATTCCTCTTTTTTTTTTCAAAACTCTGACCCTGAGTAACTCCATTGCCTCAGTGTAACCTATTCCACTTTCAACATTATTTGTCCTCTCACTTCCCCAGTTGCAATCTTTCAATTTTACACAGGTTTTGTGCCGTGGGATTCTAACAAAAACAATACATTTATCTGTGATATACCATGATGTTGGTTTCTTCATGCTATCATTAAAAGTCAACAAGAAGTGTTCCAATTTGTGTCGATACAAAATAGCTGCAGAATATTGACATGAATTTAAAGCTTGCTCTTTTTATTAGTACATTTAATTATAATAATATAACTTATAATTTTAGACAATAAGTCATAATAGAAAATTCTGCAAATACTTAGCCAGTCTACAGCATCAATGGAACGCGAAACAGAGTTTTAAGATAAATACTTGAAATATTTAACAAAATATTTGGATTTTCAGAAACTGAGGTGCACTTCAAACTCAGTGTAGCAAACCCTTTTGGAGCCAGTGACATTTATTCATGTCAGGGCACTTAAAGAAACAGTTTAATTTAACTGATTCTTCTTTCATTTCATTTTAACCCAAAATACCTGCATAATTCACTTTTCTGCATTTCGACTCTTTGGGATTTGTATTGCTCAGATTAGGAGACCAAACTTTGGGAAGTATGCACTTGTGTAAATGCAGATCAATCCAATCATGTAAATAATTGATCCAAGATATTCAATATATTTAATAGCTTGCAAATGAGTAATAGGAGGAATGATCTAACTTGAGGAATTAAATGGTTAATTCAATTAATTATATTGACACCAGCGATTATATTAACATGTACTCTTCTGTCCTTCCTTCAGGCCTGCATGTTTGAAAGTGTGAATGAAGTCTACAAAGTTATCATACCAATTCAGGAAGCGCATAGAGATGTCAGCAAATTGGCTTATATACATGAGAAGCTCAAAAAAGCATTTGAAAGCATAACAACAAAGGTAACTCATTTTGTCTCTGTAAGCAAGAGTACACTTTCTCAGTGTTGAAGCTTTCTTTTCAAGGTTATTTACCACTATGGGAAAGAAACATTTTCAAAGTACATGATGATACATACATACATACCTAGCTTCATAGATATCCATGCGCCAAGAAGAGCGATACTACACGCTCAACCCTTGTTTGCTACTTTCATTTTGCTGATTTGCAACAAACTGAGTCAAATTAACAAAAAATAGCAGAGCAGGATCTCAAAGAACCGGTCAGTTGAATGGCATGTATTGCTCCCCTCCCCCTTCCTCACCAACCCCCAGTTGTGGAAAACAGCTGAAGAGAGGGAGAGAGAAATAAACAGCAAATCATGAGAAGTAAGAGATTCATCTCAACCACCTATGGACAGGGACCATTGAACTGCCTTCGTAGTTTTTTCCTCTACCCACAACACCAACGTTTTTGTGTATCTGTCTGTTTGCATTTGTCAGGAGAGTTTATAATGGGGTTGGAGTTTAACTGGTAGAGTTATATATCACCAGTTCATAGTTGTCTACCTGAAGATAGAATCTGCAGCCATATTTTCACAGCCTGGCTTTTGTAACCTACATTAAAGATGTGGCTTTTTATTTTGCAAGGGTTCTAAGCGAATGTTTGGCACGTATTTCCGTGTTGCATTCTATGGAGCTAAATTTGGGGATTTGGATGAACAGGAATATATCTACAAGGAACCTGCCATTACCAAGCTGCCAGAAATTTCTCATCGACTGGAGGTAAGCATAATGTATCAGTGGTCTGTGTGGTTGATGATATTACTCAATATTTAATCCCTCTTCCAAAGTTGCAACATTTTCAAGTGTCTCTCTTTTTATTTGACGTCTTACTTTCATTGCGTTTCTTGTCTTCTCTCCCCAAAGATACTGTCCAGGTTTTGTAGCTCCTTATTGAATGTGCAATGTGTAATTCCAAGGAGTGACACAGGAAAGCAATCCAGTTGCATTTCAACCTTAAATGTTGATGTTCATCAAAAATCGAGCTTCTTCAATGATTAAAATCTGCTTAGCAACTAACCAAACGCTACTTATTTTGATGATACTATCAAGCAACATTTGAAGAATGGTATTAACATCATGGATCCTCTACTGTTTCTCAAATAGGCATTTTATGGACAGTGTTTCGGTGATGCTGCTGTGGAGGTTATTAAAGATTCTAGCCCAGTGGAAAAGGGCAAGTTGGATCCCAACAAGGTCAGTTGAAAATGATTTGTAATGTGCAAAATAAATCAATTCCTCATGAAAATTTGACTTTTATTTTATTTTCTCGCTGTTGCACTCTCTGCCCGAAGGCAGATCCAACTCCCAATGCAGCATTCTCCACCACAGGCCAGGAGAAGGAAGCAGGTGCCAAAACCACCTCAGCTAGTTCAGGAATCAAACCTCATTGTACTGGTACCAATCTGATATAAACTGGGTGTCAAGCCAACTGCCCCCCAATGGATCCCAGTTGCACTAGCACTATACACTTGTACATGATAGTTGTAGCCTCAAATAAAGGAGGCAACAATTTCTTTCCATCACATACTGAGCAGAAATCTCTTCCAATCTCGCTGCCTTCTATTGGTGTATATTAGAAGGATTTAAAGTTAGTAATCAACTTGCTTGGCCATCAAATCCTGTATTTCTGGCTTGAAGGCAGAGATGCCAAGATCTCCTTTTTGTTTCGTAACCTTCAAAATATCTTTTCAAGCCAGTGTATTTTTTAGGAATTTTTATACTGTGTTATGGTAACAGCATTGCTGCATCAAACAGGCTCCGAATGGAGATATACCACCTTCTTACAAGGCACAGTAAATTCATGCAAGAGTGAAGTTGTATTGGTAAATTCGCAATGAGGCACCCTCACATATTTCCTCACCACTGTCTCCATGTGTGATATGGTGCAGCTAAACTATCTGGGATAAAAACAAAGTTGCTGGAAAAGCTCAGCGGGTCTGGCTGCATCTGTGGAGGAGAAAACAGAATTAACGTTTCGGGTCCGGTGACCCTTCCTCAGAACCGGACCCGAAACGTTAACTCTGTTTTCTCCTCCACGGATGCTGCCAGACCCACTGAGCTTTTCCAGCAACTTTGTTTTTGTTCCTGATTTACAGCATCCGCAGTTCTTTTGGTTTTTATAAACTATCTGGGATGTCTTGACTAGGTTCACTATTGGTATTAGTCTAAACTACTGATACAAAGTGGGGGAGTGATGACCACACAATGTGCCCTTCAGCACATGGACTGCAGTGCTTCAAGAAAGCAGTTCTTCATCACCTTCTCAAAGACATAAATGCTGGCTAGTCAGCAATGTCCACGTCCCACAAACAAATATTTGAAAAGTTTAACAATCTTCAGGAGAAGATTGTTCATTGTGTTTGAGACGATGAAAGTCATTACATCGTGCTTATTATCTAGTTACATTACAGTCTAAGAAGACAATATATCTTGTGAGACAGATCTAGTACCACACACATGAACAGTATTTTGGTTCCTAATGGGCACAGCTTAGTTTAATATCAGTTAACAGTTTCTGGTGTTTCATACAACATGTGAATCCTAAAAATAGTTTCAGAGCAGAGCCAATCCTGGTACATCAGATACAGAAATGTGTGTCTCACTCATGAAGACACGTAGAAAGCATGCTTCAACAATTGGTACAGATTGCTGAATAAAACTACTTGCATATTTTTTACATTTTGAACTTTGTGTTTCTAGGCCTACATACAAATAACATTTGTGGAGCCATTCTTTGATGATTATGAAATGAAAGATAGAATTACCTATTTTGAAAAGAATTTTAATCTTCGGCGCTTCATGTACACCACGCCCTTCACAAAGGATGGACGTCCTCGGGGAGACCTGAAAGAACAGTACAAGAGAAAAACAATCCTGACAACCCAGCACGCATTTCCTTACATCAAAACAAGAATTAATGTCATTCAGAAAGAGGAGGTAATAAATAAACTCACTATTTTGAAAACATGCTTAAAAAGAAACACAGATTTTGAAAATTGAAGAACCAGAAAAGACTGAATGACCAAAGATCAGTTGTTAATAACAGCAAAATACTGCAGATGCTGAAAATTTAAAAGAGTAGCGGACATAAATAGTACTGGTCATTTCTGATAAATGGTCATTGATCTTAAAAGTTAACCCTGTTTCTCTCGACAAAAGATGCCTGCTGAGTTTTTCCAAATATTTTGTTCTTATTTCTGTCCAATTCTCTTCAGGGCAGTCACTCAACTGAATAGCATGAATGTCAAATAATGTGGCAATGTGTTAGTTGTACTTCATGGCAGTGAGCAATTAAACAACTTACTGTGGGAGGAGGCTCCACAAGTATCTCCATACCCAATGAGAGAGAAGCCCAGTACATCAGTGCAAAAGATAAGGCTCAAGCATTTGTAACTGTGTTCAGCCAGAAGTGCTAAGTGGATGATCCATCTTTGTTTCCTTTGACATTCCTGCTTCACTGATGCCAGTCTTCAGCCAATTTGAATCATTCCACATGATATCAAGAAATGGCTAAAGGCACTACAGACTGCAAAGGCTATGGGCTGTGACAAAATTCCAGCAATAGTACCGACAACTTGTGCTCCAGAACTTAGTGCTCCCCGAGCCAAGCTGTTCCAGTACAACTATAACACTAGCAAACCCGACAGTGTGGAAAATTATCCATGTGTGTCCAATACACAAAACAGGACAAATCCAACCTGGCCAAAAAACACCCCATCAGTCTAATCTCGATCATTAATGATGGAACAGGTCATGAATAGTGCGATCAAACAGCATTTTCTTAGCGTTAAACCACTCAGTAATGCACAGTTTGGGTTCCTTCACAGTCACTCAGTTCCTGATCTCATCGCAGCCTCAGTTCAAACATGGACAAAAGAGAATTCCAGAGGTGAGGTGAAAGTGACAGCCCTTGACACCAAGGCTGCATTCGACCAAGTGTGGCATCAAGGGGCCCTATCAAAACTGGAATCAGTGGGTTTCATGGATAAAACTCTCCATTGGTTGGAATCATACCTGGCACAAATAAAGATGTTTGTGATTGTTGGAGGTCAGTTATCTCAGCTCCAGGACATCACTGCAAGAGTTACTCAGGACAGTGCCCCAGCCCCAACCATGTTCAATACTTCATCAATGACCTTCCCTCCACCTTAAGGTCAGAAGTGGGTGTGTTTGCTGATGACTGCACAATGTTCAGTGCAATTCATAAGTCCTCAGATACTGAAGTAGTCCAAGTTCAAATACAGCAATAGCTGGATAATGTCCAGGCTTGGGCCGACAAGTGTCAAGTAACATTTGTGCCAGGCAATGGATATCTCTAATTACAGAGAATCTGACCTCCATCCCTTGACTATCAGTAGCATTACTATCACTGAATCCCACTATTAACATCCTGGGTGTTACCACTGACTAGAAACTCAACTGGAAGAGCTATACACATTCAGTGGCTACAAGAGTAGCTCAGAGGCTAAGAATCTGACAGACTCACCTCCTGACTCCCCAAGACATGTCCACCATCTACAAGTCACATGTCTGGAGTGTGATGGAATACTCCCCACTTGCCTGGATGGGTGCAGCTTCAAGAACACTCAAGAAGCTCGACACCATCCAGGGCAAAGCAGCCCACCTGATTGGTATGCAGTTCATCACTTTCAACATTCACTCCCTTCACAAAAATCCAGTGTGCACCAGCCTCAAGAAGCACTTCAGAAATTCACCAAGACTCCTTATACAGCACCTTCCAAACCATTTCCATCTAAAAGGACAAGGGCAGCGATTACATGGGAACACCACCAACTACAAAGTCCCCTCCAAGCCACTCCCTATCCTGACTGGGAAATATATTGCCATTCCTTCACTGTTGCTGGGTCATAGAAACACAGAAAATAGGAACAGGACCACACCTTTTGGCCCTTTGAGCCTGCTCCACCATTCAGTATGATCATGGCTGATTATCCAACTCAGTGTCCTGTTTTTATTTTTTCTCCCATGAGCTGTGAACCCTTTAGCCCTAAGAACTATATCTATCTGCTTCTTGAAAACATTCAATGTTTTGGCCTTGACTGCTTTCTGTGACAGAGAATTCCACAGGCTTTAGTCATTTGTGTTATTTTTGACTTGGAGTTACTCAATGAGCATCAAAGCCTACCCTTGAAAAGCCTGCTGGTATTACTCAGAAAATTGGTTTGTTCACAACATGTGGTTTTGTTTTGTTCTATGTTATTTCTCCTCACCTTAGTTGCAAATAGCCTGCACCATATTCTTTGACCCCTGGACCTGGACTCCCCAGTCATTGGAAACATCCTTCCTGTATTCACCCTGTCTAGTCCTGTTAGAATTGTATAGGTTTCTATGAGATCTCCCCTCATTCTTCTAAACTGCAGCGAATATAGCCCTAACCTACCCAATCTGTCTTCATATGTCACTCCTGCCATCCCAGGAATCCGTCTGGTAAAACTTTGTTGCACTTGCCCAATAACCACAGCATCCTTTCTCAGATAAGGAGATCAAAACTGTGCACAATATTCCTAGTCAAAATCCCAAACTCCTTCCCAGCAGCATTGTAGGTATACCTCCACCAGATGGACTGCAGAAATTCAGAAAGTCAGTTTCTCACTGTCTTTCAAAGGGCAATTAGGGATGGGCAATTAGCAAAGCCCATATACCCTGTATTAATGAATAGAAACTTACTGGGTTCACAAGTTGGACCAGAAAGTATTCCTGTGTATGGGATGAAGCAAAAAGTTTGAAATCTTTGTAATCAAAATTTGTATTTGGCCTTTATGCATCAGAAACTGGTTGCAAGATTTCCAACGGTTGTGTATTTCACAATAGAAAATATTGAAAGACTGTGAAAATATAAAACAGACATCAACTTGAATAGCACCCGCTGTCTGAAATGCAAGAAATGGTTGGTGACTAAATTATGCACTTGTAGCCCACTCTCACTTCCTGGTTAAATTTAAGTGGCTATTGTCACAAGGTGTAGGTGATGTAGAAACATGGTTCCATCAGGATAGCAGAAGGTGAAATCTGAAGAGCAGCACAGGAAGCTATAATAAATAAGAGACAGGACAACTACAAAATTGTTCAGCCCTTTATTTCACAATTTAGATTTTATAATCTGCACATGGCTCATACTTTTCCTTGTTATGTTTACTTTGGAGTTATCAACTATTTACTAAGCTATGAATTTTATTGAAGTGAACACAAAAGCCTGGCTGTTCATTCCCATGGGCTGTGCTACAATTAAGGTAGGGTGTGACATTAGCAAATACAGTTTCACAAAATACAACTGAAATGTTTCCCTAGTGTAAAATCTTTTAGTTGAAACAGCAAGTCCCAATATCTTTAAGGTTTTAACTGTGACATCTAATGCCATCCAATGTCATTAATTCCTCAGAAGTGTACTTCTATTAAGAATAGAATTCAAATCTGTTTTTCAATAGTTGCAGCCTGGAAAGAAGTAATTCTATCTGGTTTATTTTGCAGTTTATTCTAACACCTATTGAAGTAGCTATTGAAGATATGCAGAAGAAAACACTCGAGTTGGCAGTTGCAACTCAACAAGAACCTCCAGATCCCAAGTTGCTTCAGATGGTGCTACAAGGTTCTGTGGGAGCTACTGTAAACCAGGTACTACATCAAGGAGTTTGAGACTCTTTACTGTGAAGTTGTCTATGCCAGCCTTGTGATTCTGTAGTTAAAGGTCTAACACATGCCTGGATAGGTGCTTTCTAAATTCCATAGTATGAATTGGTGCAGCTGGTGTAGGTGTAGGTTGGGATTTGCAAAGAAAAAGAACTTTTCACAGCTTCTCATTAAGATAGCGGCTATGCTGCAAAATAAAACAGACTCTGTTCACATATGAAGCTTTATAAATTATCCACAAAAGCTGCTTAAATACATTTTACTATAATTCAGTCAAGTAAACAGTGGCAGTGAATTTCAGTATCAATTCATGATTTTGTATTTACACAACTACAGAATACCTTTTTGGATAAGTAAGAAATTATGAATAATGTAAAACTTCTTCGAATAATACCAGGAATCAGTGGGGCAGCCACCTTCCCCATTTTTTCAAGCAAGTGTTGAATAGTTAGAAGAGATATGTGGCAATAGTTTATGGTTCACTTGTCTCAATGGGTATTAGAGAAAGTGAGGGATGAAGTTAAGGAAGAAATTGCAAGCGAGGTTAGGAATTTAAATTTGAGGAGGAGCAACAGCTCATGTAAATCATTGAGTATGAGGAAGATATGTGAGCTGGATGTGGAGCAAGTAAAGGCAATGGTAGCAAGGTTTACGATGACCTCAAGTTTATAGAAGATACAATTTGGGAGGCCAGGCAAGACTGGAACAGTTAAATGTAGAGCTATAGAAAGGTATAGAAAGTTGGAGCTGTATCATTGGGATCGTCCTTACCTGAACTGTGCTGGGAGAAGTGTTCGGGAAAGTTGTGTAGCTGGGGTGACAGAGAAAACTTTAAACTAAATAGTGACAGCGAAGCAACACATGAGGGAAAGTGTGGTAAAGAGAAAGGACTGAAGTAGTGAAGTGAGGGGAATAGTAATCAGAGCATTGGAGGAAGGGGCAGAACATACAAATGTAACAATGCATCAGTATGCATACGGCCATCAGTAGATACTCTGAATATTTTCAGGACTGAGTTAAATAGTTTCTTGATTGCTGAGGAAGTAAAAGGTATCGGGATGGACAGGGATGTAAAGGTCAAGCCACAATCAGATTATCCATGCTCCTATCAAATGCTGAGGAAGGCTCAGGCCAAACGGCCTACACTTGTTCATTTTTTAAGTATATTTTCAGCAGCAAATGTGCTGAGGCAGGGATGGAGTTAAGTGATATTGCAGAGGTGAAAATAGACAGTTTCAGTAAGTTATTTTGTCTGTGGTCTTAATTCTTAACAAGGCACCATCCTTGTTTCCCAATGTCTGACATCAGTTTTATCCACTTGTTACAGGGTCCATTAGAAGTAGCGCAAGTATTTCTGGCAGAAATTCCAGAAGATTCAAAGCTGTTCAGACATCACAATAAGTTGAGGTTATGCTTCAAAGAGTTTATCATGCGGTAAGTTATGTGAAATAAATGATGAGTTATTTGCTGAACCTGTAAAAGTGGAAACCTTTAAAGATGCAATAAATTGTTCCAATCAGTGGATGAGCAATGTAGATCTGAAAAATGCTTGGCATAATCTCAGTCAGTACCAGTTTATTGACTTCAATGGACGTAGTAATTAAAGGGTCGTGTTTGACCCCACAGCCTGATTACAGAGAGAAAACTGACTAGACTATTTAGTGACTTATGCCAGATGTATACACAGCAGAAAAGGACAAGGCAGAAGAATCAAATAACATTAAAGTTTTCACCTGAATAATGGTCATCTGGATGAAATACTTGAGGGTGTCTGATTTCCTTAAAACTATATCCTTGTCAAAGGAAGAGCGAGATATTATCAATCAAAAAGGAATAAAGCAAAAGCACAAAATAAATTTACCTATGTAGGATTAAATAGGACATATGGTACAGAACCAGGCCTCTCAGCTCAAGTAATGGAAGGGAAGGCTTGATAAAGATAAACTATTTCCACTGGTTAGACATTCCAGAACTCAGGGGCTTTGTCTGAGAATTAGGACCAGACCATTATAGGGAGGGGTCGCGATGAATCTGGGTGGGATGCTCTTCAGAGGGTCAGTGTGGACATGATGGGCTAAATGGCCTGCTTCCACACAGGGATTCTATGATTTTATGAGCGATGTTAGGAAGCACTTCTACTCACAGAGGGTACGAGAGGCTTGGAACACTCTTCCACGAACAGCAGTGGATGCTGGATCAGTTGTTAACTTTAAATTTGAGATCGATTTTTGTTGAGCAAAGGTATTAAGGGATATGGGCCAAAGGCAGATATATGGAGTTAGGCTACATATCAGCCGTGATCTCATTAAATGGTGGAACAGGCTCGAGGGGCTGAATGGCCTACACCTTTTCCTATTTTCCTAATTCATTCTGGTGTTTTTGCTCCTCCATCTTTAGTCATTTGTGTTATTTTTGACTTGGAGTTACTCAATGAGCATCAAAGCCTACCCTTGAAAAGCCTGCTGGTATTACTCAGAAAATTGGTTTGTTCACAACATGTGGTTTTGTTTCCTTCTATGTTATTTTGGTGCATTTCCTTTTGAATATTATAAGACTATGAAATATAGGAGCAGAATTCAGCCATACGGTCCATCAGGTCTGCTCCACTATTCAATCGTAGCTGATATGTTTCTCAACCCCATAACCCTTGATCCCCTTACCAATCAAGAACCTATCTATCACTGTCTTCAATACACTCAATGGCTTGGCCTCCACAGCCCTCTATGGCAATGAATTCCACAGAGTCACCATCCTGCAGAGGAGACCACATTGTGAGCAGCAAATACAATAGACTAAATTGAGTGAAGTGCAGGTAAATCGCTGCTTCACCTGGAAGTTATGTTTGGGACCTTGGATAGTGAGGAGGGAGGAGGTAAACAGTGGGGCGTTACACCTTCAGCAATTGCAGGGGAAGGTGCCGAGGGGCTGTGGGTGTTTGTTGGGAGCGAAGGATGTCCTGGACCAGAGTGTCCCAGAGGGAACAGACCATGCAGAGTGCTGACAAGAGAGAGGAGGGAAATATGTGTCTGGTGGTGGCATTCCACTAGAGGTGGTGGGTGAGGACAAGGGAAGACCCTGTCGCTGTTCCAGGAGGGAAGAGAGGGGGTGAGGGCCAAAGTGTGGGAGGTGGGTCGGATCCATCTGAGGGCCCTGTTAACCGCGGTGCTGGGGATTCCTTGGTTGAGGAAAAAGGTGGACATTTCAGAGGCCCCCCTTGTAGAAGTTGGCATCATCTGAACAGATTCATCAAAGACGGAGGAATTGGGTGAATGGAATAGAGTCTTTACCAGAAGCACCCTGCTTCCTTGTTCCTCACTTTCTTCCTTGTTGCAGCCTGTGTTGCCCCCGTCCTGCAGAGCTGCTTTCTTCCTCCACATTCCTGCTTCTCCCCCCAAGACACAACCAACAACAATTCTTGAAGCCAGTTGACAGCAATTACCCTAGACCCAGCCATTGGCAGCCCCTCCCTGCCCCCCACAGTGACCTTCTCACCCCAGCCACTTACCTTCCCCACTGCTTCTCCAATCAATGTCTGGTTCGCTCTCCCATCAGCTGGTGATGCCCTTGCTAGTGAGGTTATAGAAATGCAGTTGAGGAATTGTTGTATTTGGAGAAGCATGTGAGGACTTCTGAAAGGAGGACCAGCTCCTTGTTTTCTGCCTCTCTCCCTCTCTCTCTCTCTTTCCCTCTCTCACACACTTATGGAGATAAGATGATTTGTCATCGCAGTGATGGATTTCTGCTGGCTGTTTTGGGATATTTTGGTGCAAATTCACCCATTGTCCCTATCAATATTAAATTCAGCCTGCAGCCACCAGGAAATTCACCAAAGATCCTTAGATAGCACCTTCCAAACCCATGACCACTTCCACCTAGAAGGACAAGGGCAGCAGGTATATGCGAACACCACCCCCTGCAACTTTCCCTCCGAGCCACTCACCATCCTGACTTGGAAATATTATCAACGTTCTTTCACTGTTGCTGCGTCAATATTCTGGAATTTGCTGTCTAAGGGCATTGTGGGTCAACTCACAGTAGGTGGATTGTAGTGGTTCAAGAAGGCAGACCCATCTTGAGTCCAGACACCTCCGCACCCCCCACCCCATCTCCCCAGTTTGAGGCATGGGCCCAGTGATTAACACCATCTACACATTACAACTTACAAAATAGGAGCAAGAGTAGGCCATTCGGCCCCTCAAGTCTTTGACAAGATCATGGCTGATCTGTCTCAGGCCTTGTTTCCTCTTTCATGCCAGCTCCTCATAGCCCTCAATTCCCTGTTACTTCGAAAATTCGTCTCCTTCCTCTTTCAATACTTCCAGTGATCTGGCCTCCACAACTGCAGAACTGGGATAGAGGATTCCAAACATTCACAATTCCTTTGCGTCTCAGTTTCAAATGTGTATCCCCTTATTCAGTAACAATGTCCCTTAGTTCATGACTCCCCCATTAGTGGAAACATCTTCTCAATGCCTACCCTGTCAAATCCCTTAGAATCTTGCATGTTTCAATAAGATCACCTTCATTCTTCTCAATTCTAATGACAAAAGGCCCAACCTGTTTTTAGTTGACTGGTTTTCAAGCAAACGTTTCGTCTCCCTTCTAGGTGACATCATCAGTGCTGTGTAGCCTCCGTTGAAGCGCTGTTGTTCTGTCCCACTCTGAATTTGTATGGTCCGGTCTGTCATGGTGGGCTGTCTTGTTTCTGATTTTGTACCATAGTGGTATGTAGATAGGGTCTATTTCAACATGTTTGTTTATCGCATCGATGATTGAAAACCAGGCCTCCAGAACAGACCGGACCATATAAATTCAGAGCGGGACAGAACAACAGCGCTTCAACGGAGGCTACACAGCACTGACAATGTCACCTAGGAGGGAGATGAAAAGTTTGTATGAAAACCAGTCAGCTCGGTGAACCAACCAACAGCTCCAACCACAACCTGAGCTACCGATCTTCGCTAAAACATAAAACTAACCTGTTTATGGCTATTCATCCCAGGAATCGGTCAAATGAATCTTTTGTGAACTGTCTCCAATGCCAGTTTATCCTTTATTAAATACAGGAACCAAAGTTGTACATGGAACTCCAGCTGAGGCCTCACCAACATCCTATACACCCTGCAGTGAGGGTGAAGCAAATGGCAGATAACTGAGCAGCTTAGAATCAGAGAGACACCCTGTAGCAAAAACTTCCCTATTTTGAATTCCAAGACGTGGGAATAACTTTACATTTACCTTCTTGATTCCTTGCTGATACCCACCCTCTCATGGGCGGTAACGGTATCTTGCTAACCACCGCTATTCCAATGTTTGGTGACAGGGATTTCAGGGTGTGTGTTGATACTTTACAGTAAGTTACTAAAAGGATAGAGCAAGGGGAAGTCTGAGAGAGCTCTCTGCACACTATATGTGGGTGATACATGGAAACTCAGAAACATTGAAGATAGGAGCAGGAGGAGGCCATTTGGCCCTTTGAGCCTGCTCCACCATTCTTCACGATCATGGCTGATCGTCCAACTCAATAGCCTAATCCTGCTTTCTCCCCATAACCTTTGATCCCGTTTGCCTCAAGTGCTATATCTAGCCACCACTTGAATACAATCAATGTGTTGGAATCAACTCCTTCCTGTGGTAATGAATTCCATAGGCTCACCACTCTTTGGGTGAAGAAATGACTCCTCAGCTCTGTCCTAAATGGTCTACTCCGAATCATCAGACTGTGACCCCTGGTTCTGGACACACCTACCATCGGGAACATCCTCCCTGCATCTACCCTGTCGAGTCCTGTTAGAATTACATAAGTCTCTGTGAGAACCCCATCTTTTGTTTGAACTCCAGCGGAAACAGTCCTAACCTTGTCAATACCTCCTCATACGTCAGACCTACTATCCCCGGAATCAGCCTGGTAAACCTTTGCTGCACTCCCTCGAGGGCAAGAGCGTTCTCCCTCAGAAAAGGAGACCAAAACTCTCACAGTATTCTAGGTGTGGTCTCAGCAAGGCCCTGTATAACTGCAACAACATATCCCTGCTCCTGTACTCGAAACCTCTCACAATGAAGGCCAACATCCCATTTACCTTCTTTACCACCTGCTGCACCTGTATGGTTACCTTCAGCGACTGGTGCACAAGGACACCCAGGTTCCACTGCACACTCCCCTCTCCCAATTTACAGCCATTCAGGTAGTAACCTGCCTTCTTGTTTTTGCTTCTAAAGTGAATAACCTCACATTTATCCAAATTATACTGCATCTGCCTTTAATTTGCCCACTCACCCAACCTGGCCAGATTATGCTGAAGGATCTCTGCATCCTCATCACAGTTCACCCTCCCACCCAACTTGGTATCATCTGCAAACTGTGAGATGTTACATTTTGTTCCCTCATCCAAATCATTAATACATATTGTGAATAGCTGGGGTCCCAGCACCGATCCCTGTGGCACCTCACTAGTTACTGCCTGCCAATTTGGAAAGGACACATTAATTCCTACTCTTTGATTTAGAGAATGGAATTATTATAGCGACCATTTTATCTTCCAAGCCAAAGGCTCTTCATGAACAAAGGAGAAGAAATAAATGACTAACAAAAGAATGGTCATGTTGAAATCAAAAAAGGGATATTTAATCTAAATATAGGGTGTATTTGAAGAATGCAAACAGTAATTGGCCTGATTGGAGAAGTAATTAAAATAATCCTACTGTCACTGATGATTTACTGATTTTCACTGAATGAGTCTTTCCTAACATTGTCTTTTCTCTCCAGATGTGGTGAAGCTGTGGAGAAGAACAAAGGCCTGATTGCCACTGATCAAAAGGAATATCAACAAGAGCTGAAAAAGAATTACAACAAATTGAAAGAGAACCTAAGACCAATGATTGGGCGAAAGATTCCAGACCTGTATAAACCAGTGGTTAAAATCCACAAGTAAGATCCAAAAAATGCAGTTTCTTTCCTACTGTAGCTCACTGACAAATAGAGCGATAGTAATGAGAATTTTCCCATTACAAGAAGGGGCAGTAAGGTGATGTGTAGGTCAGATAATCAGGCATGGAGAATGGCAGAGCAGGCTGAAAGGGCCGAATGGTCTTCTCCTGCTCCTATCTTCACTGGTTCTATGTTTCTACGTTTCCATGTATCAGGATGGGAGAGACGTCCACCTCATTTGGGCTGCCTCAGAAATTGTATTGGGCAAGGGGACCAATGGTCAACCACCCTGTCCCACTGTCAATTAGGGCCCTTAAGTGGTCAATCGCTTAAAAACCTTATCCATGAGGATGCAATTACTTCAACTCCAGGTGAGACAGAATAAGGAACAGTACATTACAGGATCGGGCCCTTCGGCCCATCAAGCCTGTGCCAACACATGATGCCTTTCTAAACTAAATTGGCGATAGTATAATGTAGGGTATGCAGGGTAGTTTGATCTTAGTAGGATAATATGTCGGCACAACATCGTGGGCCAAACGGCCTGCACTGTGCTGTACTGTTCTATGTTCTACGTTCTATGTAAACTAAAAACCTTTTGCTTCTATGCTGTCCATATTCCTCTATTCCCACTTATTCATATATCTGTCAAGATGCCTTTTAAATGTTGCTATTGTATCCGCCTCTACTGTCTCCTCTGGCAGCACATTCAGGAACTTACCATATTCAGTGTATAAACCTTGCCTCTCAGATCTCCCTTAAACCTACCCCCTTTTAACTTAAACCCATAGCCCCTTTAAAAACACTTTGACTATCCATTCCATCCATTCTTCTCACAACTTTTGTCAGGTCTCCCCTTAGCCTCCAATGTTCAAGTGTAAAAAAAACAAGTTTGTCGAATCTCTCCTCACGGCTAATACTCTCCAAACCAGGCAACATCCTGTTTCTGTACCCTCTCCAAAACCTCTACATCCTTCTGGTACTGTGGGGACCAGTACTGTACACAGTGTTCCAAATGTGGCATCACCGAAGTTCTATATAGCTGCACCATGACTTGCCAATTTTATACACTGTGCCCTGACCGATGAAGGCAAGTATGCCATACGCCTTCATGAATACCTTATCCACTTCTGTTGCCAATTTCAAAGAACTGTGGACCTGTACACCTAGATTCTTCTGTATGTTGATGCTTCTAAGGGTTCTGCTATTTACTGTGTACTGTACTTCCCTCCTGCATTAGATCTTCCAAAATGCATCACCCTGCATTTTTCTGGATTAAACTCCAGCTGCCATTTCTCTGACCAATTCACCAGCCTATTTATATCCTGCTGTATCCTCAGTCAATCCTCCTCACTATCCGCACCTCCCCCAGTCTTTGCGTTGTCTGCAAACTTACTAATCAAACCTCCTACATTCTCTTCCAAGTTATTTATAGGAATTATAAACAACAGGGGTCCCAGCACAAAAGAGAATCAGACCACCCGACTGGTGAGCCATTGGGGATAGTCTGTCAGTATTTTGCGAAGGAGGAACCTGGAGGCCCCTTAAACTGTGTTACATTGTGCACCGCACCCACCTGACCCTCCCTCCACAACCTAGCTTCTGTCCCCCAACAACATCTACCTTTCCTCCATCTAATATTCTGGGGGCTTTCTGGAGATATTGGCAGCTCCAAACAGGCAGGTCTTCCTGCTCCTGGTGTATAATTCAGAAAGAACATTCACTAACAGCCAATCAGCTGCCTGATGAAGTTAGATCACAGTTTTCTCTCCAAGAAAACCATCCTGCATTTGAACTGGGATCAAGTACGTGAAACCTCAACCGTATATTTTGTTAAAGAGTCCAGTATTTCAGATAAAGTTCTTTGATTCTGAGTTAGGCCCAAACGTTTAGTCTGTTTTTTGTTTCTTTCGGAGGTCAAACACCCAGCTTGAGGCATTTGGTGTTTTTTAAAAACTTGTTATACAATGTACAGTCTTGCTACATCATCAGTGGGAAGCTCCATTTTTATGCAGCAGGCCCCTTGACAGCTGGCATTTGGGACAGTACACGGAGTTGGTGCTTTGTGTAAAGAGGCCTAATAACTTCTTCACTTTCCCATTCGGTAGCAGTTGTGTGAGAGTAGAACATTGTTTTACAGAATACCTGACTTTCCCAAAGTCTAGAAGTCATCCATTATGCCCAAAGTATCATTTTGGGCTCCATAGCCTTTATGGATGCCAGGGTCTTTTTTTCCCCAAATCTCAAAGTACGTCAATATATGGTGACATGCTGAAAATTTCACAGAACAGAGCCTGATAACTCTGGAAGATCTCTCCATGAGATCTCCTGATGGTTCAGTTTGATTCTGACCTGTACAAACTCTGAGCATCCTCAGTTCAATTACAAACTCTGTCATTCTTTCCACGCTTCGCTGGGGTGCCTGGAAAGGAGTAAATAACAGTCAGGTTTGCTATTTCTGATGAGAAAAACCAAAGAACTGCGGGTGCCAGAATTCTGAAACAAAACCAACAGTTGCTGGAGAAACTTAGGCATGTCCAGCAGCATCCATGGAGTGAAAGCAGAGTTAACGTTTCAGGCCCAGTAACCCTGTTTCAGATGTAGAGTTCTTCAGTTCTGAAGAAAGAGTCGCTGGACGTCAAACATTCACTCTGCTTTCGTTCCACAGATGCTGCCAGACCTGCTGAGTTTCTCCAGCAACTTCTGTTTTCGCTGTTTCTGACTACTGTTTTGTAACCACTGCTGAAGACAAGGCAGCAATGCATCCTATAGGAAACTATCTGATCAAAACCCACTGTCTGATGTCAGGTATCTATCACTTAGATAAAGTAGCAACGTCAAAAGAGACTCAGGCTGAGCTAATGCTTTCAATATAGTAAAGGAAAATGTTTTATTAACGAGTAGAATTTCAACTCGAAGAAGAAGTGATATGGTGCTCCTGTTTTATCTTAATGTTCCCTCATGCACCACGGGTAACACAATATTCTTTTCTTTTCTACCTTAAGGGGATCCTTTAAAAGATCAAGTTTTAGGAAGAATGAGACATCGCCTTCAAGCACACAGAACAGCTGATGGAATCTGAGTTTTTGCGAGACACTAGGATCTGTCCTTCATTGTTCATTTGCAACAGGAGCAATGTATTGAGCTGGAAGAGCCATTGAGACAGGTGAATGAGAAGTATGTAAACTGAACTTGAATATCTCTTTCAAAAGTGAAGCACTTTTTATAAGGTAACAATCATGGACCAATACTGATATCATATACTTCACATGTAGACAAAATTGCCACTGTCATTTCAAGCTGCTGTTTGGAAATTCAACACGCAAAAGTGGTTTTAATGCCATATCTTCCTGCATTGTCCCCAACAAAACCAGCTGGGAGCATTTATTATCCTGTCATTGCATTCCTGACTAATTAATAGATCTGTGTTTTATGTTTACATGAACTGGCATTGTATTTTACAGCCACAAATACAGCTAGTTGTTATATTGCTGTTTCTCTCTGTTATGTCTGTACATACACTATTACATATCTTTTTGAGACTGTCATTGAGTTTTAAACAAGGTGGGAGCACTTTTTGTTTTAGATCTATTGATAGAAACTTGTTGTTTAAGTATAACTTTGGATTTGAATCCAGATGTTACTTCAGTGTGTGTGTGTGTGTAATATATATATATATAAGCTGTTAGGTGCCTGTCATGTGTTCTGCAACTCAGATACCTCTGTTGGTAAACTTAGTGCAATTTGACTACTTCATTGGTATGAATTTATATACTAACTATATTTGAGACACAATAAGTCCAGAATAATATTTACCTTGCAACTTTACAACACTGTTTAATTTCTGAAAGTTCAGCTCATGTGACATCCTGTTATCCAAAACAGGCATGGAACAATGAAGGAAGGATTATTTTAAGCATTCAATAAAATGCAATGTGTTTGTGGTCTGAGAATATGACATACCCTGTGTTGGCACATAATTGATTGAAATGAAGAGGTTAAAATTGATAAGGACATCCAAACACTTGATTTTAGGATGTGATTATTTACTAAGTGACTATCAGAAAATGGTACATTGGTTACATGGGATATTCTGGTCAAACAAATTTAATTCTTTATGCATTTTCATCCTGGAAGTTTATGATATTTCTATTTCCATAAAGCTTGGATAAGATGACCTCTTTCGATAAAAGCTGGTCTGATCAGAGTTGTAAAAGCAATGTAATTTTGAGTTGCTCAACTGGTAAATCCAAATCGCAAAAAATGCTTCTAGATACATTATTATTGATGTTTGTAAACTGCCTTGAATCTTCATTTGTATATTATCTTGTGTACAGAAACGTCTAATCATGCAAATAAAGTCTTGTAGAATGATGGAAGCATTGCGATGCTTCCAAAGTCCTTGCACAATCTGTTTTGATTTTTTTTAACAACTAAAATCACTTTAATAGGAATCAAAGTCACATAATGAAGACTTTATAAAATAGTAATTGGATGTATTGCTTCTTTACTCAGTGTTTTAAGGTGTTTTGTTCAATCCTGAATAATTCCTATTTTTCTTCTACATTTCCATTTAGATTTTAAAAGATGCATTTGGTATATATAGTTGAAAATTTTGCTTTGAGAATGTAGCAGGACTGCTTAAGAGATTTGGTTATGCAAATATATTACCGAACTGCTTGCACATGGCATCCTAGAATCAAAGAAAATAAAGTATTTTAGGGTGCCATTCTTCCCATCTAGCTGTGCTGGTGTTAGCCCTTCAATTATAGCAGATGGTGGAATTTGAAATCAATAATAATCTGGAAATAAGAGTCTAATGATCACCATGGAACAATTGCCGATTGGCAGGAAAACCCATCTGGTGCACTAATATACTTTAAAGAAGGAAATCTGCCATCCTTACCCCGTCTGGCCTACGTGTGACTCCAGACCCACAGCAATATGGTTGACTCTTAGCTGCCCTCTGGGTGATTAAGGATGGGCAATAAATGCTGGCCTAGCCAGTGACACCAGCATCCCGTGAATGGTGATGTTGTAAGGTGTCTATTTTTGCAGCTAATAGCCGCAGTCTTGGAGTTCACAATTCCAAGTCTCCTGGAATCCCACAATGCGTTGGAAGTTATAAACAGTTATGCTGGAAAATATTTATTTATTTCTAAGATGGAAGAGTTAAGGAGAGGAAAGCTAATAAACATTCCTATCTGGATGCAAAGCTAATGTGTTTCATCTTGCAAAAGACAACAGCTCATAGCAAGCAGCATCAGAGGAGCAGGAAAGCTGACGTTTCGGGTCTGGACCCTTCTGAAGAAAGGTCCAGACCCGAAACATCAGCTTTCCTGCTCCTCTGATGTTGCTTGGCCTGCTGTGTTCATCCAGCCCCACACCTTGTTATCTCAGATTCTCCAGCATCGGCAGTTCCTACTAGCTCCGAGCAAGCCATTTTTCAGATCAAGTTACAGGTTTCCCTGCAAATAAACTCAGAGAAAAAGCTGAATCTACAACCATCTAATTGAGATTGGACATGGCATAGTCAGGAGAAGAATTATCAAGAATCTGGTAACACATTCTGGGCATACCCTCTAAGTGTGTTGGAAAGCAGACTTCAGAACAGGTCTTTTTTTTTTATTTATTGTCAATGACACAGTTCCAAAACATTACAATCATATAAACCTCACAATTATAGCATACAGTTTCACACCTGCCATGAAATAGGCCTTATCAAAATCACCAATGACATCCTTTGTGATTTATCGGCTATTCCTTCATGGCCTTCTCAGCCTGTCCACAGTGTTTGACCTTTTTGACCACACCATCCTCCTGCAGTGTCTCCCGGCAGCATGGGACAGCTCTCTCCTGGTTATATTCTAAACTAATCTTAGCTTCAGAATCACATGTAACGATCTCTCCCAGCTCCTGCACCACTCTTTCTATTGACACATAAAAATCTGTTTCTGATGTAACATCATCCAAAACCACAGGATTAGCTTTTACATGTATGCTGACGATATCCAGCTTGACCTAATCCTCACCTCTATAGATGACTTCACTATTGCTACATTTTAAGATTGTTTACCCAACATATGATATGATATGATAGTTGTCAGTGCAGTGTTGAAATGCAGAAGCATCCTGTAAGTGGACTGGAGATGTGCCACAAGGGGTCTCTGAGGCTGGCACATGTTGGATGCCAATGGTTGTGGTTGTGAGGTGCCTGTGGCTGGCGGCCACGGAAGGTCTAAGATATTGGTATCAGTGTCGAACATGGAGGTCCTTTGGAGCAAATGCCAAGCTCAAGTCACCAAACACCACTTTGGTTTCAATGTCGGGTTTTCTCGGTACTTAGCTCGTTTGGTAGGTTTCGAAAGATAAGAAAGCTGAATGTTAACGAAGTAGATTGAGTCGTCAACAAGATACTTGACAAACTTTAACTGCCACCAATTTGTCAACTCACCGGGGCCTAGCCAGAACCCTGCCACGCTTTTTGTGAAAACCATGAAAGCTGGAGCATGATGCTCCAGACCTGAAGATTGGTATCACCAGACTTCTTGGCTGATTCTACCACACATCTGACCATAGCCCACATTGCTCAGACCTCCGTAAGATTCCATTTGTTGAAGTTGACTTAAGAATTACATGTTCTAATGAGCTGCTCTAATAAAGGAATTCTAACTCCCCCTTTTCACATTTTCTGGTGATAAGCATGAGTCTCTGCCATATTACAACCAATTGAGTGATTGAAACAAACTTTTACCACTTCTCAAAGTTTTGAAGCCTGTTCAATCTTCCTCATTAATTTTAGTTGAACTGTTGGGAAAGTATACATTATTTTCAAGCCTTTCTCCATAATTTTGGAATGGTCCTTTGAAGTTCTTAGGAAAAGTATCTTATTATGTTAAAGAAACTATATAAATATCATTTGTTATTATAATCTTTCAGGGAATCTCACTGGAGCCTTCCAATTGTTCAAACTGTCTTACTATAATATGTTGCCCAGAAATTTATGCAATATTTTGCACAATTCAGCATTACCTCCCATATATCTAATGCCACTTCTGACTGTTTTATCTTCTAAAGCAAATCTGAATCTTTATTCCCTCACTCTCAAGGATGTTGAGATGTCCTAGTATAACAATTTATTGCAAAGACACAATATAAATACGATTGAAATGCATCATTGTACAAATTCAACAAGGTATCAGCAGAATGAAGAGAGTCCTGGTTAGTATGTGCATAGCCTCATGCTGTACTAAGCCACACAAGCTGGGTTCATTTGTCATTTGATATCTGACTCAAAGCAAGTTTATTGTTCTCAGCTGGAGCAGTGAGCAGCTCTAACATTTGCCTTAATGTTTGTTCCTGGTTATTTGGGGAAGGATGCATATACCAGCTGTAGTTGTAATGACAGGAATAAATTAGGAAGAATATATTTTATACTGGAATCTAAACAAACTGTATAAGGGCCTCTACTTGTCCATATTTATTGTTACACCTCTTTAGGGAATTTATATCCACACTCACTGCTTTGTACCCTGCTTTGCATGAGTGAACATTCAGGATATATGTGTTTAAACAAATTGCTGGAGAAAATAGATGGTGATTGTCCACTTATTCGATGTTTTCATTTCCTGTTTTTGACATTCCCTTCAAACTACACAATTCCTGTGATTGAATGACTGAGTCCTGGACTTGCCTCTTCATATGGGCCACTTTATCTTGTTGGCTGCAATGTTAAAACTTCTAATCCTGAAAGGCACAATATAACAATTCAGTTTCAGTGTCTGATCCACAGGTCTGTGTATTCTACTGTTCCATGTTTAAAACCACCTGGTTTCTACTACAGGAGGAATAATACAAACTGATCTCTGCAGAATGGATTAAACAATAGGAAATGCTCTGACAGATATCCTCTGTCTTAAAGCAGCGATGGGCTGTAACTTCAGTCTTGAAGCCAGTGAGTAACCAATTGTGTATGCAGGCGAAGGTAAATTCTCTATAGCGTTATCAGACCATAGGACTGCTCAGAGAGACAGCTGGTGGTTTTGTAGTGATTGTAATGAGGTCAGCCAGCTGGACTTCATAGAATATAAACTCCCTGATTGGGGCTGTTAATCTGGTCCAATGAAGGATCCCTGGCTGATATATAAAAAGGGTGAGTGTCAGCAATACTGACCATCTGACTCCAAATGAGGAGGTACTAAAGTCAAGGACTGTTCATGTGTAAATAAAGGGTGACTTGGTGACAGGATAGTGGCCTCTGTGGAGTTATTTCAGTTTAACCAGAGGGAAGGAGAGTCCTTTGTGGTAACCTCAGACAGTGTGGAAATTGTACGCATACTGGAAAAAATGCTGCATTGCAATCCAGCAATCCAGCCATGCTAAAGCAAGCCCTATGCAGGCAAATTCCTAATAGTTAAAGAACAAGTAGGATAGTTGAGGGACTGATATCTTCCTGTTTACCAATTAACATCCTAATGTGGAGGTTACCTTATTACATCCTGAGCTGTTACAAATTAACCCCAATCAATAATTGTGTATTAGTACAATCCAGTAAAATTATAGATCACAAATTGGGTTTTTTTTTGGTAGATGGTTTCACGCCAAGGCTGACTTAAGGAACTGTTGAGAAAACTCAAGTTAAATTGAAATTTGAACAAAAGACGGTAGGAATTCACAGTAAATCCAACAAGAGAACAGATAGGTAAATGTTTTGGATTTTTGGCCATGACAAGTCATCAGAATACAAGAAATGTTATTCTGTCTTTATAGATCCTGCTAGATCTGCTTTGCACCTTTTAATTTCATTTGGAGATAGTTCTGTATCCACAAAGGAATCAAAGTAGCTTTTAAATGTTAACCTTACCTAAAAGCAAAATTATGAATACAAAGTACAACACCCATAGCAAATTCACCTCTCAAACACATGATGGAGTCAGGGAGCTTCAGTGAGAAGTTCAGAATTGTTATATAGTTCAATTTATTCTTTTGCACAAGACGTTAAGGTTGTAGTTATGTGTCAAGTGTTGGTTTTATCAGGAATGCAATATTAATCTGCAGGGCTAAATTGGAAAGAGTGGTTTGAAGCATCTAAAGTAGAAACATTAACTGAATTCAGAAGCTCAGAAACTATAACATTTGAACAGGTGACAGCAGGCAAAGAGAAAGATTGAAATTTTGTTTTGATCAAATGAATTGATCCCTCGTGTTCCTAAAATTTCACACTTGGTTAAATGATAATCAGACAATAGGTAGCCCAAACTGGCACAGGACTGAAGCTAAAATGTAATTAACTGACAGAAACTTTTACACCTTTATGTGGTTCCTTCCTCCTCCAGTTCTGCTAATTTGACAAGGTTGCTAGGAGTTCCCAAAACATTGTGTGAATGTGGAATTCTCACGTTTCCCTCTGG